AAGAGTTTTGGTCTGTATATATTCATTTCCATATAACGGACTTCTCTCTATATAAAATCCGTTAGATGGAGGTTTCACAACTAACGGGCACCTTGATATAACGGACTTTCCTCTCCATATACTGTAGTATGTTAAACAGGGTGACTTTATTCCCAATAATGTTTAGGGACTTGTGTTTATGATAGTATACGTAGTTTTCCCGTTTTCTTTGATAGTTCCCGTTTTCTTTGGTATTAAATCTTAATATTAAAAAAAAATTAAATGTTTGCGTCTGGATAATCTTATATACCTAATCAAAATATAAATTATGTATAATGACAAAGGTTACTAAGAGTCATAGTTAATTAAAAGGTCTTATTTACTGAAGGATTTATAGTGTAATTGCTTACCGAATAATATGCAATTACACCACACTAATTTTTTTCCTAAATATATCGCCATTTGTCGTATTTTATAAAACGTAACTAATAAAAAGAACGATTATATTAAGATAATTATATTCTTCAGTTGTGCGCCAAGGTTATAATAATCGTCTTCTGATTTTCTTGACTTTGATTCATAATTTGGCAACGTGGCGGCAACAATCCAATGGAGCCTCGAAAAATTTGACAAGTTTTTCGTCCGTAAACCTGTTTAATTGAGGCAAAAATCCTCCCCCCCCCTCCCCCTCCCATCTCCTCCTCACCCCTCCACACTATCCTCCTCCTCCCCCCATCCCCCTGCCATCTCCTCCTCACCCCCCCTCCCGTGTGTTTGTGTTGCAAGATTAATTGTTCGTTCCACAGTCTAATTACTCGATATGACTGTACTATGTAATAACTAGAGTGGGAGCTGTGTCGGGTCTAGTCTCTGATGCCAGTGAATTTTGGTGTTAAATTCTTCTATATATATATTTTTTTTGATACCCGACGTTGATATGTATGTGTGTGTGAGAGAGAGAGAGAGAGAGAGAGAGAGAGAGAGAGAGAGAGAGAGAGGGTTAGTTTTCTCCTTTACATGAGCAATATATACAGTCTTTTATTACATACATATATCCCAACAATAAAATAATAATTCCACTTTATAAACCCGACATCTTGCAACCTGGTTCTTGCAGACTCATTCATACACAAACCGTAAATAAAAGCAAATTCATTTAAATTACTTTTCTCTACTTCTTCAGACAATAAAGCCAGAATTTAATTATAACTACGATATTTTTTTTGATAATTGTTAGTTCTTTTTACTTTTTAATGATGCGTCAGTATTTTTTGTTTACTTTTTAATGATGCTTCAGTATTTTTTTTTTACTTTTTAATGATGCGTCAGTATTTTTTGTTTACTTTTTAATGATGCTTCAGTATTTTTTGTTTACTTTTTAATGATGCGTCAGTATTTTTTGTTTACTTTTTAATGATGCGTCAGTATTTTTTGTTTACTTTTTATGGTCGTCAGTATTTTTTGTTTACTTTTTAATGATGCGTCAAAGTATTTTTGTTTACTTTTTAATAAATCGTCAGTATTTTAATTTTTTTTAAATAAATGCGTCAGTATTTTTGTTTACTTTTTAATGATGCTTCAGTATTTTTTGTTTACTTTTTAATGATGCGTCAGTATTTTTTGTTTACTTTTTAATGATGCTTCAGTATTTTTTGTTTACTTTTTAATGATGCGTCAGTATTTTTTGTTTACTTTTTAATGATGCTTCAGTATTTTTTGTTTACTTTTTAATGATGCTTCAGTATTTTTTGTTTACTTTTTAATGATGCGTCAGTATTTTTTGTTTACTTTTTAATGATGCTTCAGTATTTTTTGTTTACTTTTTAATGATGCTTCAGTATTTTTTGTTTACTTTTTAATGATGCTTCAGTATTTTTTGTTTACTTTTTAATGATGCTTCAGTATTTTTTGTTTACTTTTTAATGATGCGTCAGTATTTTTTGTTTACTTTTTAATGATGCGTCAGTATTTTTTGTTTACTTTTTAATGATGCTTCAGTATTTTTTGTTTACTTTTTAATGATGCGTCAGTATTTTTTGTTTACTTTTTAATGATGCTTCAGTATTTTTTTCTTACTTTTTTGATGATACTACATTGTCTTTTATAATACATCCTTTATATGTAGTACAGTAGTTTATGTACCTTAACAGCCTTTTTAAATGCGTCGGGGGAATAGTTTCAAATTTGCTTATTGCTGCTATAAGAACCAAATACGGTAGGCCTATAAAAATATAACTGGCTATATGAGTCAAGTCTAGTTTATGGGTATATGTGTTTCTCTCTCTCTCTCTCTCTCTCTCTCTCTCTCTCTCTCTCTCTCTCTCTCAGTATATCTTTATCTTATTTCGGTCTATCTTAGTTATTTTGGTTATATCTCTACAACCCTCAGCATCTTTGGTTATCTTGGCCATATCTTAGCATCTTATCTCAGGCATCTCTCAATCTCTCTCGTTATCTTGGTTATCTCTCAGCATCTCACTATATCCTCGTTATCTTGGTCATCTCTCAGCATCTCACTATCTCCTCGTTATCTTGGTTATCTCTCAGCATCTCACTATATCCTCGTTATCTTGGTCATCTCTCAGCATCTCACTATATCCTCGTTATCTTGGTCATCTCTCAGCATCTCACTATATCCTCGTTATCTTGGTCATCTCTCAGCATCTCACTATCTCCTCGTTATCTTGGTCATCTCTCAGCATCTCACTATCTCCTCGTTATCTTGATCGTTATCTTGGTCATCTCTCAGCATCTCACTATCCTATCGTTATCTTGGTCATCTCTCAGCATCTCACTATCATCTCTACTCGTTATCTTGGTTATCTCAGCATCTCACTATATCCTCGTTATCTTGGTCATCTCTCAGCATCTCACTATATCCTCGTTATCTTGGTCATCTCTCAGCATCTCACTATATCCTCGTTATCTTGGTCATCTCTCAGCATCTCACTATCTCCTCGTTATCTTGGTCATCTCTCAGCATCTCACTATATCCTCGTTATCTTGGTCATCTCTCAGCATCTCACTATATCCTCGTTATCTTGGTCATCTCTCAGCATCTCACTATCTCCTCGTTATCTTGGTCACATCTCAGCATCTCACTATATCCTCGTTATCTTGGTCATCTCTCAGCATCACTGTCTCCTCCTGAATTATCTTGGTCATCTCCGGCATCTCACTATATCCTCGTTATCTTGGTCATCTCTCAGCATCTCACTATCTCCTCGTTATCTTGGTCACATCTCAGCATCTCACTATATCCTCGTTATCTTGGTCATCTCTCAGCATCTCACTATCTCCTCGTTATCTTGGTCATCTCTCAGCATCTCACTATATCCTCGTTATCTTGGTTATCTCTCAGCTTTATTATCAGGTTTTCGTTTAAGCTGAGTTAAAGCTTTTTGTGAGTTGTATTAGGCTCTTCATTGGTTGGAATATAATGGTCTTCAATAATGTGTGTGTGTGTGTGTGTGTGTGTATCGCTTTTTATGTCATATCAGTTTCTCCGTTATTGTACCTTAAGGTTAAAGTTAAGTTATATTACGTTGGATTAAAGTTAAATTATATTACGTTGAGTTAAAGTTAAGTTATATTACGTTGGGTTAAAGTTAAATTATATTACGTTGAGTTAAAGTTAAGTTATATTACGTTGGGTTAAAGTTAAATTATATTACGTTGAGTTAAAGTTAAGTTATATTACGTTGGGATTTAAGGATATAAAATTATATTACACGTTGAGGTTGAGTTAAAGAGGATTATATTACGTTGGGTTAAGTTAAATTATGTTACGTTGAGTTAAAGAGTTAAGATTTATGTTACGTTGGGGTTAGGATTAGAGAATTATATTGCATTGAGTTAAAAGTTGATTATATTACGTTTGGTTAAAGTTGAATTATCTTCATGCGTTGTAGAGTTAAAGTTAAGTTATATTACGTTGGGTTAAAGTTAAATTATATTACGTTGAGTTAAAGTTAAGTTATATTACGTTGGATTAAAGTTAAATTATATTACGTTGAGTTAAAGTTAAGTTATATTACGTTGGGTTAAAGTTAAATTATATTACGTTGAGTTAAAGTTAAGTTATATTACGTTGGGTTAAAGTTAAATTATATTACGTTGAGTTAAAGTTAAGTTATATTACGTTGGGTTAAAGTTAAGTTATATTACGTTGAGTTAAAGTTGAGTTATATTACGTTGGGTTAAAGTTAAATTATATTACGTTGAGTTAAAGTTAAGTTATATTACGTTGAGTTAAAGTTAAGTTATATTACGTTGGGTTAAAGTTAAATTATATTACGTTGGGTTAAAGTTAAATTATATTACGTTGAGTTAAAGTTGAGTTATATTACGTTGGGTTAAAGTTAAATTATATAAGATTTAGGTTCTGGTTTTGTTATTTATGGTTATATTAAGACTTCACACAGCTGTCTTATTGGTCTGTTCTCTTATATTTTGCTTATTGAATAAATTGCGTGACAACATCCGCCCTTAAGGAATGACCAGCGGGCGACTTACCTGTCTTTATCATTCTCCTGTGACGAGAAAATTCACCGTGGGAGGGTCGACCTTCTTGACCGTCGGTCCTGGGAGAGTGTTGTGGAAGTGAGTGTGGTGTGGCGTGGTGGTGGTGGTGTGGTTGTGGTGTGGCGTGGTGGTGGTGAGCGATGGGCCGTGATGTGGTGGTAGTCTGTGGTGTGGTGAAGGTGTTGGAGTATGACGTGGTGGTGATGGCTGCGTGGTTGTGGTGGTTGTGGTGTTGCGTGGTGGTGAAGGTGATGGACCGTGACGTGGTAGTGGTGTGGAGTGATGATGGTGGTGGTGAAGGGGTGTAACGTGGTGGTGGTGGGAGATTAGAATGTTGGTGGTGATGGTGCATAGGGTGGTGAAGGTGATAGGGGCGAATCATGGTGAAGGTGATAGGGGCGAATCATGGTGATGGTGGCGAGGTAGGGTGAAGGGGGGCCCCCCATAGAGTAGTAGGGTGAAGGTGGCGGTGAAGGTGTCGTGACGCTGCTGTGGCCATGGCGGAGGCTGTATATAACATGGTGGGTGGCAGTCTCCAGCACCACACACCATCACCAGCTAACACCATGACTGCACTCAAGGTACGACGTGTCTACCACCGTTAAGGAACTCAGATGTTTGTGAATTTAACCTCATCTTGTGCGACAGTTAACCCTTAGAGGACGATGGTTTAACCTCTGACTCTTAAGTGGAAGATGGTTTAAGCTACAACTCCCTAAGTGGACGATGGGTTAAACGTGGATTCTTAAGTGGACGATGGTTTAAGTTCTGTCTCACAATTTGACGATGGTTTAAGCTACAACTCCCTAAGTGGACTGTGGTTTAAGCTCTGACTCCTAAGTGGGTGATGGTTTAAGCTACAACTTCCTAAGTGGACGGTGGTTTAAGCTCTGGCTCCTAAGTGGACGATGGTTTAGGCTACAAGTCTTAAGTGGACGATGGTTTAAGCTCTGACTTCTAAGTGGACGATGGTTTAAGCTACAACTTCCTAAGTGGACGGTGGTTTAAGCTCTGACTTCTAAGTGGACGATGGTTTAGGCTACAAGTCTTAAGTGGACGATGGTTTAAGCTCTGACTTCTAAGTGGACGATGGTTTAAGCTCTTGCTCTTAAGTGGACGATGGTTTAGATTATCATTCTTTAGGTGTTAAACCATCATCGTTTATACATTGTACTGTATAGAGTTTTATTGTTAATGTTAATTTAGCTGTTGTATGATGAAACAAGAACACAGTTAAAAATAAAATGATAATTTATTCGTAGGAATCATCATCATTGTTTTAAGTTACGTTTTTAAGAGTATCAATAAACTCTGTAGTAAGATAAGTAGACTTGTGCTTTACATCACAAAGTTGGGTGTATGTTCGTCCATTGGCTAGTTTGTTGCTCACTGTGACGTCTAGTTGTTCACAGTGTGTTCAGTTCATGTTCCTAGTTCACCAACACACTTGGGTACCTGTTTTAATCACGTCCAAAGTCTGTATGAGTAGATGTTATGTTCTCGTGGTTGGATGAGTTCTTGGCACTTCAGTGTATGTGAGTAAATACTGCCAATGTGTCTTTTCCTCGTAAAGAGAATAGGGAAGTTCAGTTACATGCACATTTCGTGATGGAACTTTTCTGTTGACAATGCAGTGACCACCCACGGCCACACCACCACAGGTAACACAACACTCTGCCTCCTGGAGGAAGAGTGTTTGTGTTTTTCTCTTGTCGTTGTACTAATAAATGTTTCCTTCCTTACATCAGCTGACGCTCTTTGTAAGCCTTGCGGCTCTCGTCCACGGCGACACCTCCGTCATACACGGGGGCGGAAGTCACCACGGGGGCGGAAGTCACCACGGGGGCGGAGGCCTCCACGGGGGCGTAGGCCTCCACGGGGGCGTAGGCTTCCACGGGGGCGTAGGCCTCCCATGGGGCGCAGGTCTCCACGGGGCGCAGGTCTCCTGGGGGGCCTGGGGGTCTCCACGGGGCGTAGGCCTCCACGGGGGCGTAGGCCATCTGGGGGCCTGGTCTCCACGGGGGCATGGGTCTCTCACGGGGCAGAAGTCACCACAGGGGCTCAAGTCTCTCCTTAAGGGCGCAGGTCTCCCCTGGAGGCACCAGGTCTCCACAGGCGTAGGTCTCCCCGGGGCGTAGTCTCCACGGGGGCGTAGGTCTCCACAGGCCTGCAGAAGTCCTCCCAGGGGCAGCTGAAGCCACCCTCAGAGCACCAGTTCTCCACGGGGGCGGAAGTCACCACGGAGGCGTGGGTCTCCATGGGAGCGTAGGCCACCTTGCGGGCGCAGTTCATCATGGGGGTGCAGTTTATGGGGACGCAGTCCACCACGGGGGCGCAGTTCATCATGGAGGCGCAGTTCACGGGGGCGGAGGCCTCCACGGAGGATCTGTCATCCACAGCGGCGCAGTTCATGGGAGCGCAGTTCATCATGGAGGCGCAGTGCACCATGACACTTACGTAAGTTGACGGAGAGATCATAAGTTTTGCCTCATAAATAACAAGACACTTGACGTGTTTTTCACCTGACAGTTTTCACCATTATGTTAAATGTTCTTCTCATAACACAAACAACAGTGTTTTATGGCTCTTGTGTCATTACTGAGTTTATTTAGTGATGGCGCCAACATATACTTAACACTATCACACTACAGGCATCACCTCACTACGACTACGCCTACGGGGTCCAACGACTATCACACTACAGGCATCACCTCACTACGACTACGCCTACGGGGTCCACGACGACTACGCCGGCACCAACTTCGGTCACAGTGAATCTCGCAACGGCTACAGGACCGAAGGCAAGTACCACGTGAACCTGCCCGACGGTCGCATCCAGACCGTCACTTACTACGCTGACGAGTCCGGCTACCACCCCACCGTCACCTACGAGGGCGTCCCCCACCATGCAGCTGCTGCCCACGTCGACGGGGGCTACCACAAGTAGCTTATCCTCACTTAGAGATAACATGGATAAACAGACTGTGGAGAAGTTCATTGAGCTGTGGTAAATTATATATATATATATCCTATTTATAAATGGAATATTAAATGCTTATGTTATTTTGTAAATACACAAGTGCAGAATTGACCCTTATTGTTTTTCATACACAAATGTAATTAAAGTTATTATTAATGCGTGAAATATACGAGAGGTAAATGTTACATTAAAATACAATACTTGTCTCTCTTACTCACCTCACCTGTCATTGTCACTTGCCTCACCTGTCACTCTCTCAGCTGTCATTGTCACTTGCCTCACCTCTCACTCACCTCACCTGTTATTGTCACTTGCCTCACCTGTCACTTGCCTCACCTGTCACTCACCTCACCTGTCATTGTCACTTGCCTCACCTCTCACTCTCTCAGCTGTCATTGTCACTTGCCTCACCTCTCACTCACCTCAGCTGTCATTGTCACTCGCCTCACCTGTCACTCACCTCACCTGTCATTGTCACTTGCCTCACCTCTCACTCTCTCAGCTCACCTCTCACCAGCTGAAAGGCAAACTACAATGACACAGTGACTATGTAAAGAAAGTGAGAGCGAAGAATAAAAATGCACAGAATATGAGGAAGGAAGAATGAAGCGTGAAGCGTGAAGGGCTCGCGTGCACAGTCCCAAGGTTCCGACACTGTGTTTGGTCTGATCTTATAAATTCTTAGTTTGCTACAAGTTTGGAGGAGAGACTATTATCAGCCTCCAAGAGTCTCGCCTTAGTACAGTATAAGAGCCTTATATATTTACCCCGGCGTCTTATAGGTTCTCTCGCTGCGCCATCTTAAGTGCCTCACATAATTCAGCCTTCCCACAACACCTTGCAGGGAAGCGCTACACAACACAACCTCCTCCGGCAGGTATCAGGTTTCATCGCCTCCCCATAATAAGGCCGTACCTCCCGCGATTGATATTATTATTGGCCATCACTCTCGAGATACGAGCAGCAGCAGCCGCGGGACCTTCCCATCACCTTCCCATCACAGGTGAGGGTCCTACAGCCCTTCCCACATACCCACCCACCCACTGTCAACCGTCCCAAGGGTGGTGCACCTCCGTCGACAGCCGGTGATAGAGGCGTAAAGCCGGGCAGTCGCAGCAGCGGCGGCACTTGTACAAACATTAGTAAACAGCAGCCTCAGTAATAACAGTGTTGGTAGCTGAGGCAGCCTCACTAACCGATTCATCACAATAGATTCGGTAAGAGTAGCAGTAACAGTAGCACAGTCATTAGCAGTAACAGTAGTAGCAGTAACAGTAGCACAGTCATTAGCAGTAACAGCAGTAGCACAGTCATTAGCAGTAACAGTAGTAGCAGCAATAGCAGTTAGCGCCAGCACCAGCAGCGCCGAGAGGTGGTTATCGCCACATGCGGCCATAATCAAGTTCGTCTTGTGAATGGTCTCTGTTTGTCTTTATATGGAAGTTAATAAGTTTGTTGATGTTATCAGCGGCACCTTCCATTTTCTTTAATAACCATCACCTCCATAATGGTGATAGCACTAGTGTTTATGGGCGTCTAATACAAGCAAACTAGGCGGTGTCGTCCTGCCGGGAGTGTGTATTAGTGTGACTGTAGGTGTATCAGGTATACAGGAGAGAGGAGTGTAATCACAGAGGAGAGTGACGCGGGGGACTCACCAAACAAACGATACTCCCCACTCCCAAATTTGGTGGTCAGCGGCGGTGTTTTTCTCCCCACCTCGCGCGTGCTGCAGATGACTATTGATACTGTCACCGCTCACCACCACGACACACTTAACCATGCCTCGCTTATGATATATCCTCTGTATATAGTTTATGCTGTATGAAAAGTTATTTAAGATCCTATTGCATTGTTCAGACTCACACAGCAGCCTGCATGTAACGTTAACACTCTATGACTCACTTAACACCTGAAGTAATACTGAACCGCCATTACTACCCTTCACCTCCACCCTACTCCACCCCCTCCCACCCCTCCTCTACCATCACCACCTCCAATCACCGTCCATTATAACCCACCACCTCCCTCCACCACCATCCTCTTCCACCACCTTCTCACCACAATCACCTCCCCTCCCCCCCCCCTAGAAACAAGTCCTCAATATCAGGTACACAAGAATTTATTACATATTAACAAACATTGGAGATAAAACACCAAGTATTTATACCTCAGAGGAAAAAAAATAAATGCAAGAGAACAGCGAGTAAAACCAGTGTGGGCAATGATAAGTGTAGTGCTGACTCAGAATGAATTTCTAAGGAGAGAGGCCCGCAGTTAGCAGTAGCGGGCTGGTGCCGTGGGAAGGTGGCCACCTGCCCTTGGTCCCGCCTCCATCACGACTACACCTCACACTTCTGCAACAACACGCCGGGTCACTGGAGCTGGTGGCTGGCTGGCTGTAAGTCTCTAGGATTGGTGAGGTTAGGTTAGGTTTGGTTAGATTAGGTTAGTGACTTGTAGTTGATGTGATGGTCGAGTCGGATGGATAAAGCAGTCACCTCCCACGAATGTTTCTAACTTATCTATTTACTTCCTATCTAACCAGACCCTTTACAGTGGCATAACCTCATGACGCTCCTGCCACGTACTTCAGAACCTCGCATGACACTTTTACCCTTTTCTCATAACCACCCTTTGACGCTTACTCCCTGATCTAAGGGTAACATTAACCTCAAAATTACAAGATGCTGAAGACTGGGGCTCGGTGGATGTAACTCACTATAGGACTTGCGAAGTTTCCCGGACACAAGAGGAAGCAACGCCACACACTCGACCTCCTTTGGTTACCCAGTCCTAGCTAAGGTACTCATACACAGCTGGGAAAACTTGGGCGTGCTTGGGGTTCGAACTAGGGACCCATAGAACAAGAGGCAAGAGCTGTAACCCACTAAATCTGATGCTATTTTAACGTTGGTGCTTCCTTAGATCTCTAATTTACGAGGAAAGCAAAAATCAACGCAGGAACCTTTGAGGATCTGGACTTTGTTCATGAAGTAACAATAGAGACTTAAACTGATCACGTTTAACCTAACCTAACCTGGCTTAACGTAGGTGGTGGGTTACATTATGTTATTTTTATTTGAGAGAAAGACAGGCAGACACACGGAGAGATAGACAGAGAGATAAAGAGACAGACGGAGAGAGACATAGACACAGGAAGATAACAAGGCTCTAGTATTCCATACGGATTCCAACATGCCAAAATTGGGAAGCGTATACCGCACCCCACCCCATCCCATCCCACCCCACCCCACCCCACCCCACTCAACCCCACCCCACTCCACACCACTCCACCCACCCCACTCCCACCCCACCCCACCCACCCCATCCCATCCCACCCCACCCCACCCCACCCCACTCAACCCCACCCCACTCCACACCACTCCACAAAGATTAAATCCCCCACTTGTCAACTTCACTTCGTTCTTCAGTCTCGTCCTTCAGGTGTTACTAATGAACCACTTAGGATGGAACATGGTAAAAACGCGGCCTAATTCTCGTCATCCCTCGAATAATATCCTCATTTACGTAAAGTTTTGCCTCAGTGTTGCTCGGGGCTGTGGTAGAGGTGTGGTGGTAGCGTGGGAGAGAGAGAGAGAGAGAGAGAGAGAGGGAAGGGGACCCGTGATGTCTTCTCACTGGGGACACTGCTTGGGGACAGTACTGGTGACATCATGTTTATTTAGGGAATTTTGTGGATATTTTGGGATATTCTGCGTTTTGGGAACATTTTTGGGGGAACTTTCTGTGTACTTGGGGGACACTTACGGATATTTAGTGTGACATCGATACATAGGAATTATATTGTAACAGTTTAATACGTATTTCCTAACACCAGGTGATAATGTTGTGTTAATTAAGGATTTTCTTCAGGTAAATGCACGTATAGTATTTGCCAGGTGCCTTCAAGAGAGCTGCAGCATACGAAAGGTTCAGCTATATGTTAACGTATTGTTCACTCTGTCTTAGTCTGGGTTAAATAATTTTTTACCGTTTTTCAATTTCAGTCTCAGTAACGATGTAATTTATGGTATTTGAAGTAACGGTGAATTTTTCTATCCCGATCAGCATCAATAAACAGTAACAGTAAACAGTAACGGTAAACAGTAACGGTAAACAGTGACAGCGAAACAAATTTAAAGAAATATAACATTGGCTTTTAACGTGTGAGAGTAAATGGTAATACTCTATAGCCAGACAACAGCAGTAAAAAAAAAAAGTAACAGCGGTAGTGAAGGTGTTCAAACACTAACACCGACACTGCAAGACGAGGCACAACAGCGTGGGAATCCTGATAGGGGTTTGATAGAGGCCATTACTATAAATGACCTGCTGGCCTTCTATCGTAGCTCCTGCCTGGACGAAAAAAAAATCCAAACAATGAAGGTTGACGTATCTCTATATTTTTGTTAGCTTAAGTTCTTTAATTGTAGGGTGGGTGTGTAGGCCGGGAGAGCCCTTGATTATTAGGGTCATTACAGGGTCTTGAGGGAGTCTAGCCCTGACCGCTTGTGCCCTTGGGGTGTGGACCGTCGTGTGGTGTAGAAACTATAGATGATATTCTCAGGGTCTGATCTACACGGTGATTGTTCTGACACACATACGCACGCACGTACATACATAAATACACAAGGGATGATGTAGTTTTAGTTGCTATTGTGTATCTGTCTCTTGCAGTTATTGACACTCAAACAAGCGGTAAATATAAAGCAAACTTTGATAAATTAATTTTAAGATATAAATAGAAAACCCGTTAACAAAGACGCCTGGAGTAGTTGTACTTCGGACAATAATTAACACACGAGGTGACTGGACGGTAAAGTAATTATCAAAATCGTTTTTACTTAAATTTAAATAAAAATACAAAGGTGATCTTGTATTGTGTAGATAACAAAACATTTCTCAGCTGAAGTAGTTTCTCCTCACCTCCTTGGTCCCTTGCAGCCGTGCACCGCGGGCGTAAGAGACTCGAGCAGTCACCTCGACGTATGGTGTAAGGTGTTGGTGCGTCAGACCACACACGGGCGGGTCAGGAACAACAAGCACCACTTTAACACGCTCCTCCAGCACCGGTAAGGACATTTACACTCCCTAACTGCGGGGAGGAA